TAAGAGCGTTGTGCAAAGAGAAAACCCAAAGAACCAACAGCAGGTAGAACGCCAGCAACAACTACGACAACAACAACTGCAGCAGCAGCAGATACACAAAACAAAAGAAAACAAAGAACAAAACAACTCCAAAAAAACAACAACAACCAGTTGAAGCAATTGCGGAAGCACAAGAAATTGCATTGTATTCGAAACGTTTAATGATAAGGTTAGGGGAAAGGGGGAGATGGCAGGTTAATAGAGAGCAAAGCGAAAGGAATGGAAGGGGCAGCAGCGTGCTAGATAGGTTGCATTCAAATATTCAATATGAATATATGAATCAATATATACATATGTATGCGTATATAAATATATACATATATTTATTTATATGTAAGCTCAACTTAAAGATACTCTATAGCTATACATGATATATACATATGTATATGCATATACATATCTATATAAATCTATTTCATAAGAATTTTCATTCGAGAGTTAGTTAGAGAATATTTATATAATAACAAAATAAACAAAATAATTACAAAAATTATATTGAATTGATTGGCTTTTCATATATTTCTAAGAAACATCAGGAAACGTGATTTATAGCGTGATTTAAATATAGTGAATATATAATTACATATAGTATAAATACCTTATATACTATATGTAATTATATATGAACTATATTTGAAACGTTCTTCAATATAATAATAGTTCAGTAATAATATTTTTCTACTTAAGAAATCCCAATATTCTTTGGAAAATGTGATTTCGTCTTTTCAATTATTTAAGTCAAGCTATAAATCAGTACAATTTGTAATAGAAATGGAGAATATGGCATCGATTCGTTCGAACGAATTGTCTCTCAAAGCAGATGTCGAAGATTTAATAACTAAATTTTTCCTATAACTTTATATCAATAGCTCCTCAAGTTATAGAAAGCTTATAGCTATTGAAATACCCATTTGAGCCTGAATTTCTTACAAAAATTGTGTGGCAAAAGCTACGATATCTGGGAACTGTTCTAGCCGTTTCTTTCGCGAGCTATACGTACTTGAACCTACGACCTGTGCTATTTCCCAGTTAATGGCATAGATCCAGCTTCAAAATGAAACTAGAAACAAGATTAATTAAATAATTTTCGGCTTAAATCTGGATTAGTTTCATTCCACTTGAATTAACTGAAAACGGAAAAATGAACTTCGCATGCTTCAGATGCTGGATTTATAAAACTGCATAGTTCCAGGTATTACCTGATGCCATATCAGGTGCCAACAGCGATAGCCAACGCTAAACTTTTATATTTGTTCTCTCCTTCTATATATATAATTCAGCTTGCATCCGAAAACTTTGTTATTTTGTGGAAATTGCATTTCTTCTGAGTTTCCTATGCCCGTTCGAACAGTCGAAAGGGGTATATATGGTTACTTGGAAAAGCTTTGTAAAGATATAAATGCTCTAAAGTTCTTATGATATTTTATCTGCGAACGGGTGTTTGGCAGTTGGTAGCAAAAAGTTCGCGACGCCCACAGGCCACGCCCCTAAATACACGAATTCACATTTTGTACTTTATCAGCTGTTGCCGCAGCAGCAGCGGCAACAGCGGCAACAGCAGCTGCTGTTGGACTTTAGGGTCAAGCTAAGAGCTCTTAGAGCTGCATACGCAGCCTCCACTCTCTCTCTTTCTCCCTCTTTCTCCCACTCTCTTTCTTAGACTTGCCCTTCAGCTGTTGTGTGTGGGGCAATGCAATTTTATGGGCAACTGAAGAACACTTGGTTCGCTTTTGAGGCAATGACTTTTACACATCGCAGCACATGGCTGCCCATCTGTGTGTGCGAATGTGTGTGTGTGTGTTTGTGTGTGTGTTTGTGTGTAAGCGCTCAATTGTAGCCAACATCAGCGAGCGCGTGTAAAATCGTAAAGCAACTCACACAATTGACTCGCAACTCGACGTCAAGAAACTTGCCTTACCGGATTTCGGATGCTGACCCAGCTAGCAAACAGGCAGCGCCAACGTCACTCCCCGCCCTCATCTCCCTCTATCTCTCTCTCTGTGCCACCCCACGCCTACGCTCACACCTGGCATGTGGACTGTGGGCAATAGACAAGCACAGCTTTGCTCTCACTCGCTGCCTCTCTGCCCCTCTCACTGTCTCTCTCTCTCCCCGCCCCTTCAATGCCGCTGCCTCTGCCTCTGCCTCTCTCGTTCTCTTTTACACTTTGCCTAGCGTTTTGTGCTCTCCTCTTTGTATTGATTTCGTTTTATACAACAAATTCATGGCTTTGGAATGTTAGCGTTTGGCTCTCTCAATAGGTGTGTGTATGTATGTGTGTGTGTGTGTGTGTGTGTGTGTTAGCAAACAAGTAAGTAATAAGTAACTTCTTTTTCGGCTTTAAGAAGAAAACTGGAAATTCTGGCGCCCATTTTGCTGGATTCTGTGACCCAAAAAAAAAACTAAAGAAGAGAGAGAAAAGAAATAGGGTAAAAGGCAGCGAGGGGCAGGATGGAGGCTAAGAGTATATATCAATACTCACACACACACAGATGCATAAATTGAAATTATGACAATGTGTCGATGTGGCAGCAGCCGAAAGAAAGCCATTAGAGAGATGAAAGACTCTAGGAGAGAAAGGTAAGACGAAAAAGTGCAGGTATAATGAATTCATAGACTTGCTAAGCCTGGTTTAAGCTCCAGAAAAAAACTCCATTTATAACTAACAAAAAAAAGCCAGGTGGAAATTTATAGGTGAAAGATGAGTGAAATTGGTGAAAGAATCCAACGTTTTCTTAGGAACATTTATTGAGCCTATTCTGGATATTCTGGCATAGGCAAAGCAGAGCAATAATATTATTTGAAGCTAACAAAAACGACTGTTTGTGTGGAATTTGAAGGAGAGGAAAAGTTTCCATTGTGAATAGTCCCAAGGCGCAAGGAGAGTTAATTTGGGTCTACATGTATGCATATATATGCTTCATAGAGTATATCAAGTTATCAAAATGATTCTAGTTACATTCGCCCTGAAAACTTCAAATTAAAATGTAGGAAAACACATTTTATTTATTTATTTATTTTATTTTCTATTTCCGTCAGGTTCTCTCTTATCCGTTTCGCCAGAAACTGTATTGTTGGTAAACATGGAGTAAGTTTTTTATTTTTACTGGGAAAAGGCAACTTTCTAGTGCTTAGCTGGAAACGAAAAGTCGCGTCCATTGCTGGAAATGAAATGGAAACGCTTAATACGAAAGTTGCGTGAAGAAAGATTTGTTTTAACTCCACTGAAGCTACGAGAGGTAGACGGATAAGTGCATGTGCCAATTCAATTTCGTTTCAAGCCCAAGCTCACTCTATGCTAAGTGCATACGCCCCCTATTTGCTTTACCACGTGAAACGCCCCCGAAAAAAGCCTAGAATTATTGTCCGATGCAGCTTAAACAGTGCGCATCTCTGTTGCTCGATTATTTTCAGACACAGTTAAATTAGTTTCGTTTTCTGGTTGATTTCGGAGTGGCCGTTATAAGCACAGTGTCCATCAAACTGTTGCCAACTGTTCTTCCAACGTTCACGATGCAATTTGTTTACTGTTGCTAATAACGTTATTTTTGTTTCAACACTTCCCGTCGTGACATTCCATTTCATTCCATTCCAGTATCCGTTTCCATATGCATAGTTCATCATGAATAATAGTGTAAATTAGATGCAGTGAAACACGTTAAAGGTGCCAGCTGTGTTAATGCCTGCTTAAGGTCTGTATCAACATACACACACAAATACATTGCCGGCATAAAAAAATAATTGAATAAAATATGTATGTATATATGTATAGCTTAAATTAAAAATGTTGTGCTGTGCTGTTCTACAAATGTATCTCGGTGCAGCGCTTATTGCATAAATGCTCTGCCCACCTGCCCTTCGCCTCACAGCAACAGCAACAGTAACAAATAAAAACAAAAGCTGAAACAGACACGAAAACGCAACGTTGACGACGCCAACGTCGCTGCTACGTCGCTGCTGCTGCTGATTCATGGCTTGTGTTTGGCTCAGCTGAGCAGCTGTGGCCGTCATAAGGGCAAACAGAGGTGCGAGCGCAGAGCGGAGGGCAAGCTACGACAGTTTGGCAGGAATTGCATGTAGTTTACACTTACTTCAGTCAAGCGGCAGCGTCTCACATACACATGTGCATGTGTGTGTGAATGTGTAAACAAATCAAATTTGTTACACTGAACAAAAACCGAAAAAAAAACAGGAAAAAAAATAAAGAGATGCGATGCACAGGCACAAAACAGCACAAGGAAAGAAAAAACAAAATGCGCGTTAGAACGAAACGAAATGGCAATGAAACGCTGGCGCAGCCGCAGCAGCAGCCAACGCAGACGTCAACGCACGCGCGCGCGCACACAGGCAAACGGCACCAAAAAGATGTATTGAATATGAGGACGCGGACAGGGCGCAAGGCGACGAGACAGCCGGCACGAGACGACACGACACGACACGGCACGGCACGGCACGAACGAAAACGAATCGTATTGCAGCAAGACGAAACGAGCGACGCTCTTGAAACGCTACGACAAACGGCGACTGTTGCCACACAACTGATGCGATTAGTTGGCGCTGCACAGCGCCAAAGCCGCAGTTAGCCCCAAATGAGCAGCGAGCGACGACGGCCAGAGCGTGAGCGTAAAGCGTTTGAAGCTGACCACAAAACGATTGCAAAAACAAAAGCGTCACGAAGCAAAAGCAAAAGCTGCGCGCGATGCCCAAGCCACCTTAAGAGAGCCAGAGAGAGCAAGCGAACGAGCGTGAGAGAGTAGCACTAAGAGAGAACGCAGTGAGTTCGTCTACAGTTGAGCAGCCACTGCAACTGATTAATGACGAACACACACAGCTGATAGCAGCACTGTGCATAACAGAATGCCAGAATAACAGACTGTTAAGTGCTCAGCACTAACAGCGCTGCTGTTGCATCACTTAAGACTACGATATTAAGATAAAAGCTTTGATTTGATAATGCTTACCCAATCTCGAATCATTCTTCTTGCGCACACGCAAACAGATGGTGCAGGACTTGATGCACTGTAAATTAGAGCAAATTATTTAGTTTGCTTCTGCCTACTGATCATCGATCAGATTTGATCACTTACATCGTGGATGTGGCGTATGGCTTCCGTGCGTGATATATTATCCAGGCTAAGCCCGTTGACCTCGAGTATCTCATCGCCCACTTCCAGATTATCGCGATCGGACGGTGAGCCATATAATTTAATTTTACCCTCCGCATTCTCAACGAGTATGATAACATAGCCCGATAGTTCGACAACTTGTTGCTGCAAGAGAGAGAGAGACAGAGAGAGAAAGAATGAGAGAGTGGGAAGATAATTATATTATGCTTGTCCAGAAAATATTGTCCTTGTGCTCAAGTTTTCAATGTTGTCTCATAAAGTCATTTGCATAAATGCTGCAAAACGCTCCGGCCATGGGGCTCAGGTGAGGGACTGACCCCAAAAATAAAGCAAAACAAAAAAGTAGAAAAAAAAAGAAATTAATTACACACAAAATGTGGGCCACATTGACTAACTCAGCTGCGCCAACACCTACACCGCATCCTCCTGCTCCGCCTGCCCCCTGCTCTCCTGCGCCCCACGCACTTGCCACAGCAGGAGTCGTAATTTCTGCTTCTATTCCTGCAGCGTAGGCGTTCAATTTGTCCGTGTGTGTGGGAAGTTTTTGGACCATTATTGCTTGGGCTGGCTCGTTATGTTAATTACAACAAATTATGCTCGTGTGGCAACGCGTGAGACTAGCCCCAACCCAACCACCTCCAGTCTCCAGCAGCCGCCGCCTCAAGCCCCAGGCACAAAGCATTCGAGAATGCTTAATAACTGTGTCTGTGTGTGTGTGTGTGTATGCGTGTGTGTGTGTGTGTGTGTTTCGGTTCTCAAACTTGAGTTACGTTCAGGCATCTGCGTTGGGCAAACATTTTGTTGTTCATTTGTTGACTTTGCTGCTTTCTTTTATAGCTAAATATTTACAGTTGGAGAGGCGTTGTTTGTCTAACAGTTTGAGCTGCATTGTACTCTGCTGTATTTGCTCATAGAATCGTATATACTAAAAAGAAAGAGAGAGAGCAAACATATAGCAATGTCTCTTCCTCTCTCTCTTTCTCTCTCTCTCTCTCTCTCTTTTGGTATATATAATATATATTCCTGATCAGTATCAGCTATTCTATTCTACATTTTCGCTTAAATTGGTTTTACCTTAATCTATTTTCTATAAAGCAATTAAATTTATATATTTTCGATATTATATATCTCCCGATATTTGATCACTTCTCAGCATTTGGCATAGAACAACTCTTTATAGAGTTTTACCATTATTTTGATATACTTCCTCCCTCCCTTAAGAAACTTGGACAGTTAAATCGAACTTTTCCAAAGTGACATCAACTCAAAGATTCTTCAACGTTCATAAATCTTGAGTTATCGAACTGTAAATAGATGAAATCGTCGGCTATAGTGGGGCGTGGCAAATGTGATGAGATAAATTTCACAGTTATCTGATGGCCTTCATTACAGATTGATGGGAATCGATGCTCGTTCAGAGCTCACCGGATGCTGAACCTACGTAACATCTATAGATTGTCTTATGGCATCGGGAGTATGCAGATAAGATAATTGGTATATGCCAAAGTTGCTTTGACAACACAACTGAAATTTTCAGTATCGATTGCGATTAAGAATCGATAACAGCTGAAGCTGAAGCCCACTGAACCCATTGAACCCATGGGCCATTCGGAGTCTACAGTCGAATCTACTGTGCTCTGTCGTTATCTTTAAGGCTCTTAAACGACTGTAACTTTGGGAAGTAGCGTCGACACCTTTCTCCAGGCAAGCCACGAAATCGATTAAAATCGATATCACAGCTTACTGAGTAGCGCTAGTAGAGAGGGAGGGAGAGAGAAACACAGAGAGATGGCGCATGATGTATTCAAGTGGAAATGGCACATGTCAGTGGGCGGCGCGAAAGAGGGGCGTGGCACTGAGGTCGTTGCGGCAATTGCGGCCAAGCGCGCTCAATGCAAAATAATGAGGCGGCGATTGGGCGTGGTGCGCGAGAGCAATTGTTGTTAGACACAGGAACTTGCCAACACACGGAACGCAACAAGAGCAACAACAACAACAACAACAAGAAAATGAAGAAGAAGAAGAAGAGTCAACAAACAAACTGCGCAAAGCCCCAGCGAACGGAACACTGGTCGAGTTGAGTTGAGTTGGCAAACAGCCAAAGAGCAAGGCCCAGGACAATGTCACAATGCAAATGGGCGCTAAAGTTGCAGGTGCAACAGCAGCAACAACGGCGGCAACAACTACAACAACAACAACAACAACAATAGCAACAAAAATTGTTGACAACTTGACATTTGATTGTTGCCGCGAAAAAGTTTTTTATTTTGGTTTTTTTTGTTGCTCGCGCTTAATGCGATTAGGTAACAACAACAACAACAACAACAACTGAATCTGCAACAAAAGTCGGCCAATTGCTGCTGCATCAGGCCGCCAGGGGGCGCCACACTCAACGACAAAGGAAAGAGCTAAACAACAAGAAACAAGTAGGAAAGCTTTAATCGAGAGTGCCCGACTAGCAGATACCCTGAACACCGATCAATCAGTGCTCTTAAGCGTCCTCCATAGTTTGTCTCTAGCATAGGCTGTTAAAACGTTGCCACTGCAACTTTCACACAAGTTATGAAACCATGAAACTCCGCTGCCAAAAATTCATGTTTCCCAAAAAAATAACACGACGACACCTGGACCTGGACTTGAGCTCACAACTACCGAACGCTAAGTCACAAATTGGGGAAAACTTGAGCTCTGGCTGTGAGGAAACACGAGATATAATTTAATAACTGATTTGCTTTCAATCGATAACATTGTAAAGGGAATAGTTATCGATTTTTTGAAATATATTTCAAGTCTCTGGCTCTCGTAGGTGCTGAGATCGACGCGTTCATACAGACGGACGGACGGACAGGGCTAAGTTGACTCTTTGTACACTTTGTAGGGCCTGCCACGCCCCCTTCTGCCTGTGACTTACACAACACGCCCACTGCTGTATCCCACGCCTACACAGAGTGCATGTACCCTCTATAAACATGTTCAATGCGTTTAGGGCATATAAAAAACCGGCGGCATAATTATTGACGCTTCAGCGCCGGATGCGGGCACTCAACACACGCGCGCACACACACACCCACGCACACAGACATAGATATAGAGCAAACATGTAACACATGGCATACACTGGGGGCCATGTGGAGGACAATCGGCGACATGGACTCAGAACTGGAGCAGCCTCCATCGCAGTGGCAATCGCAATAGCAATAGCAATAGCAGTAGCAGTAGCAGTAGCAGTCGCAGTCGCAGTCGCACCCATGACAACAAGCTGCCGAAACCCACTCAGCAACCACCCGCCGTCATCGCCACAGCCACCGCCACCGCCACCGCCACCGCCGCCTCTGTGCCACTCGAATGAAAAATGACAGCAATTACGCTTAAATTATGCGTTTGTTTTCATATGAGCGTCCTTGTCAGTTGTTTTGCTGCTGTTGTACTTGAAGCTCATTTCACACATTGACAGTAACGGGAGGATAGAAAGAGAGCGAGAGAGATGGGGAGATGGGAAGAGAGAGTGAGCGAAGTTACTTAAAAGATTCCCTAAACTCGACAATTAATGGGCAGCTTCTGAGTGGAGTTGGGTTGCTCTGGATGCTGCATGTGGTCAGAGTGTAAAAAAAATAAAGTAGAAGAAGAAGAAGCAGCAGAGGAAGCAGACAAAACACAAACATACTTAGTACAAAATGTAGCTCTTAAGAACTCAAGGGAAAACACTTTGTTAAAAGTTCAAATATTCATTTTGCGTTTGCTTTTTGCTTTTTTCTCTGTTCTATTTTCTCGCTTCTCTTCGCCCAAACTAAAAAATATTCAGATTTATCTGGATAATTCTTGGATAATAAAAGTACATTTGTAAGTTTCAAATGCACCTTGAGGCCAAGAACAAACGCTTCCGACGTGCTCGACTAGCAGATACCCTAAACTAATTCAAGCTGAGCGCCATCCAAATGCCAATTGAAATTCAGCTGAGCTGAGCAAGAGCTCATCCAAAAGTCAAGTCCTTCCTTACTTTGTATGCTCAGATATCAAATAGGGTTATCTGTTCGAGTTGTATTTGGAAGGAGGAGGCAGTAAATGTTGGCTGTAGATCAAGCATATATACACTCTTTGCTCCCTGCCGCGCCCTTGTAATATAGTATATATATAGTTATTAGGAATCTTGGATTTAAAGATATCATATTTTGACATACCCCAAAACAACTTTTATCTTTTAATATAAAATCTTAGAAGCTCTTAGACCAATCAGTTCTACTTACTGCTAATATGAAAGGAACTATAATAATATACATGATATATGATCTCGAAACTTAATATATATAGAAAAGCTTTCATGAACTGAGTCAAGGGAAACGCTTGAATCGTAAGAATCGAATGAACTGTAAGCCGTGAACCGTGAACTGAACTAGCAAAACCGTTTAGCTGCTGCGGCATCCCTGTCAGCAGCGAAAAGCAGAATTTTCTGTGTAACCGAAACTGTTTTGGCCACATCATTCCGCAGAGGAATAAAATCGCATAAGACATTCCAAGCGAATCGCTTGACAATTTTCACAGATATTTTGGCCATGCCGCAACGGAAATGTTGCCAAGGAAGCGTACAGAAATGTTGCTCGAGCCTTGTTGCTAATCAAACATAGCAGCAGAAGCGCACGAAGAGCAAGTGGAAGGGGACGCAGCAGAAGAAGAAGAAGAAGCACGACAACAACAGCCACGACAATGAAAGCACTTGACTTGTTATATTTAACATATAAATGGCGCAACAAATCTCTGGATATTGTTTTAAATTATGCGCACACACACACACACACTCACTCGCACACACACACACAGAGCCACACAAAGGCAGCGACGACGGTTGCGACGCGTAACGCGACGCTTTGGCTAATCAGTCAAACGATTAGGCAAAGGAGAACGAGAGCGTGTGAGAGCGAGAAGGAGATGGAGAAGGAGAAGCAGAGAGCGAGTCAAAATGCTAAGCCGGCTTGCGGCTGTTTTTCTTTTATTTTTCTTATTGTGCTTTGTGTGCTTTGTAGACTTGCCAGATTATTGTGTAGACTTAAACACATGATTTCCAAAGCAAGCATACGCGAAAGTTGTTGTTGCTGCTGCTGCAAACAGCCTTTGCCAGCTGCTTGCAAATAATTTGTTGCTGCGTTTTT